GTCAGATTTCTGATTAAAATCTTTGTATGACATATTTCTGAATAAGAATCTTTTCAAATACTGTATTTGTTTTATGTTTCATGAAAGAATAGGGATCTCCCAAACTTTAAAAAACCAGTTGATCATTGTGATGAGCAAATGTCATACTGTCTTCTATAGAACAAGGCAGATCTCAGAGTGAGCTACCTATGTAAAATTTTAAACTAATATACAGCAATTGTAAAAAGGGTTATAACGGTAACAAATAATCCTTTATTATAAAAATTAATAATAATAATAATAATAATAATAATAATAATAATAATAATAATAATAATAATACATATTATTATATTATTAAATAGTAGTAGTAGTAGTAGTAGTAGTAGTAGTAGTAGCAGTATTATAAATAGTAGTAATATAGTCATTATTTATCCATTTTTTCCAATAAATTCAAATTTTTATAAATTCTTGATGTGTATTTAAGATATAAAAGTGTAACTTGCCAAGTAACAACAACCATGATAAACAATTTTCTTTAGACCATTTCACCAATTCTGTTTTGCATCTTTTATTCCATCATCTGCAACAGACCCATTCGAATTTCACGCTTTTTCTTAGCATATAAATTGCGTCAATTCAGGGGAATTAATTATGATGTTCATACTATTATACAATCAATAAAATAATAATGATTGCACTACCTCAAATTCTAATTACCAAAAATATGTTAGATATTGAATGAAAATATTTATTTTTCTGATAAACAGATGTTATTTAAGTATAACCTTTTGAGCCAATCATTTTTCGCCGTATATGTTTGTGCTGCATAGTATATATACATGTTTTGAAATTAGAGTTTCGCTTATGGCATCAGTACACAATAAAATCCAATTCAGTACCCACTAATGTAGCCCCAGTCTATTTTTAGATCTCTTTTACCTGTCTGAGTTTGGTGGTGATAATAGAGTCAGATTTTGGCATTCTTGGTAAGGATTTAAAGGCAATTGTTTTTTCTTTAAAATGTGAGCTTATGGTGTGGTTGTCTGTGTGTATATTGGCGACAGTGTACATTGAGTAATAAGATCATGGTGATGATCCAGATGTGCAATCTGTGTTCCATTGCCTGGTGTTTTGTTTACAATTCAGCCTCTCAAAAAAGTGCAGGTCAACCCTTGACAAGAACTTCACAGTAAAGTCATCTTTGAAGGTATTTTAGATTAACATATGATTTGTATTGATTGTCACACAGTGGAAAGTTCAGTACTGAGAAACAAATGTAGAGACAATATAGTAAAATTAATTGTGTTCTATGGCCTGTCAGTAAAGCATGTGAGTAAACTTTAAACTTATATAAAATCTTTATTATTAATGATATAAACATGAAATTTTAATATGTTATGTATATTGACTTTAAAAATATAAAAATGAAATTGAAAATAAAAAATAATTTTAATTTTAAAAATTTAAATGTAATTTAAGAAACAATTAAAAATAAAAAAATTTCCACCAAGTATACACATATATAATATTTATTGGGAATGATATTAAATGATATCAGCATATATATATATATATATATATATATATATATATATATATATATATATATATATATATATATATATATATATATATATATACTCCTACACCATATACAAGCTCAAATGATAGATATTTGTCAAATTTTGTCAGAGAAAATATCTTTGTTAGTTAAAATAAGACCCTAATTTTAAATACATGAAGACAAAATTCTATTTTGCTTTGTACCTTTAGATCATAGAAACTATTTATTTGGGGTCCAAACAGTTAATTTATGTGTTTATGATGGAGTGACTTCCTGAGTAACACATATCTGCTTGAATAGCTATCAGTAATTGTTTATTAATATAGTTATAGGGTATTTAGTGAGAGGACAGAGATGAAGAATTTATACTAGAACCTGTTCAAGTTCTCTACAAAATCATATTAAGCTGTCAGATAATGTAATACAGGTCAGAGGGTTTAAAATATACTTTACCCAGGTATATTTACCATTGCATGTAAAAAAAAAACCCAGCAAAATGATGTAAGTTGAACACAGAATGCATTCCATTTTATTGTTCAGTTTCTTTAAGATGTTGATTGATGTAGTGCGGCATTGTGGCCCAGATGATATTATGGGAATTCTAATGATACATTTTGCATTATGCATTATTAATGACTAATAATGTTCGTTATCTAACACTTTAAAGATTATGTAAGTAATATTCAAATAGATTATTTGAATTTAACTTTCTACAACAGATCCTAAGATGGTTACATAGTTGACATGAACAAATATGCATATTTTGCAATGTTTGGAGTCAAAAGTTGACATTGTTAGGCTGAAATGTACCTACAGTGATTCTGTAAGGCTCAGTTATGACTGTGTGCACTTAAAATATCCCAAGATGTTATTTTCATCATGAATATGCCTTTGTATGGTAACACATTTCAATTTAGTACTTTGACAGAGGGCATTATTGCAGCATCAACAGATATCTGATTCTATTGAATCATTGAGTTTAATAACTTGGTAGCCAACACTTAAAAATAGACTAAAAATGTTCAAACATATTATTTGAATCATGTTTGCACATGTGATTTTAACAAGTGCAATGCATATGTCCCACACATGCAAATATCCATCCTTGTTTACAAGTTTTCGGGATGAAAATTTCATATTTAGTTGATGATATAGGATCTATTGGTACCTATAGTTGATCTGTTCGCTGTATTCACTCGCAATATCTAAAATTGTTTTTTCTTCATGAATACGATTGCATATAGTAATAAATTTTAATTTGGTACATTGTCATTTGACTTTACAGTATACTGGTATGTATCAAAGTTTGCACCAATGATCAAACCTCACCGTTCCAACATTGCCTTAAACTTTATGATACATACTCTACCTGATTAGTTATTTAACCTGTAAATGGCTAAATATGCTTGTAGAAACTTCCATCTATTTTTAGGATGCATATATCACTTTAATACAAACCCAATGCTTCACATCATTGAGTGTCACTCTGTCAAGTTTACCTTTTTTACCCATATTTGCAACCTGAATGTTACTTTGAAATCACCATATCTAACACATTTTAATTTCATTTGCCTACATCTTTCTTTTTTTTTAGAATTAAGTGAAACATGTTTTATATTTTCAGGTCTAGTCTGGTATCTGGAACAAAGTATTAGAGTTGGATCAATTTTAAAGCTCTCCAGTAGTCCAACGGTGATAGCAAGGTCTCATAAAGACGTGCAGTTTGCTGTTATAAGTGACCAAGATGAGTTCATATCAGTACACTGATATACAGCATATCAAAGACGTGGCTTAGATCTTCATGAGAGAGATTCGCATCACTGTTCAGTAAGGTGGAACCTCCCTGAAACTATTTTGGATTGTTGGAGCAATAGAATGCTTATAATGTTACAGAAACGATTAAATCACTATTTCATTAAGTAAGCTGAGGAGTGACACTGCTTGACAACAAACAGTGGATAATTCCCATTAGATTTACCACTTATGTGCACGGGCACCACACAATCAACTTGATACGCATTGATGTACAATTGCATTAAAATGATGTTGGTGGTAGTTCTACATTATCTGGATTGACTTACAGTTCTTTTCACACAAATGCTCTGATAGGTTTTTCTGCTCATTCTCAAGCTATGCCATAGCAGTAGCTTGCTGACCAACGTAGCTAGGGTCAAAGAATTGTTACATCTGAGACAAACTGCATGGGAAGATCTTGTTGCGAGCTTGAAGCAAATGTTTGTACCACTGATCAAACCGTTAAAGGAGATTGTTGGAAATATGATAGCAACTGGAACAAAGAAAAAAACTGCAACACTGCCGAGATGATGGGACTAGAGCATCACCTGGTCTGATCAGGCATGTGGCAGTACATTTAGGACAAATTAAAAACGTGTTATAGGACATGCAAGAGGATGTAGGAAAAGTTCCACAACATGACACACTCGAGTACAATTCAGAGTTTGTCACACCACATCAAAAGCTTAATGAACTCACAGGACAGAATCTTTTACCTTTTCCTGCGGTTTCTCTCGAACGTACTTGGTCCCAAAAAATGATATTATTATATCATAATAGAGGCTGAACTACCTGCGGATTTAATCAGCAGGAAATGGGACATACGAGAATTCAAGGGGTGGGCTAAATCAAAACTTCTATATTGTGATGATCCTATTTGGAATGATTTTCATCAAATTGTTAAGCTCACTAGAAACATGAGGGAAGAAAATACGAAGTCATACAGATATTATTTTCTACTTACATGCAAGAAATTCTTGCAAAACGCTTATGGGGTTGTGTGGGAACCTTAGAAGGAGGATCTGCCTAACAAGGGATAATAAATTTTTCTCATTAACAGAACAGGAATAACCCAAACATGTAAAAGGCATTGATAGTCGTACACGCAAACGTGGACATGAACGAGGGACAAAAAAGGGTTCCACGGTCCAAATGTGTCTGTGGACCAATATGTTAATGAATTCATGGATCGGTAGCAAAAACTATTGGGGTTGGTTACCGCATGAAACATCACACCAGTAATTATTGTGGAGGCCGCATTGATCTGTCAATGATTGCCCACTAATGATATCGTGGAACAGAGCACGTTTTGTTTGCTACTGCACTAACATGCTGAAGACATTGTTGATGCATATAACAAAAAGAAGTTTTTACATGGACAATGCATGCTGAAACGCTTTTCGTTTAAACAATTCTCGTTTTACGCGAAATCTGTGATTTCGTGTGTGATTAGTGATTTAGATTTTTGACGTAGCTTTAATAATTTTTTAGTCATATCGCTACGATGTCTACATTGTGGCAGTTTATAGTGATGTCTAGGGCATCATGCCGCAGACATGTAGCGTGATGTCCCACCAAGTCACATTATCCTGACACCAGACCGACCAGTCCCCTGAGCGCCAAGCGCAGCTGTTAAGGGCATTTTTTTAAGTCTTTGGTATGACTCGGCCGGGAATAGAACCCACGACCTTCCGCATCTCAGGCGGACGCTCTTACCACTAGGCCACCGGAGCGATCCACGGAATTTGTGTCTCGATGTAGCGAGTTGTTGTAAATACAAACCCAAGCGTCAACTTGTCGAAACCATAATTCAACAACGAAACCAGAATTGTATGTGTATTCCTCCACAATTATCATCACAGGGGAATCACGCACACTTGAAATTGTACTAGCGTCTTTACGCGTGTATTACATTTGACCTAATATCCGACCTCGGCCGTTTAGTGATCATCCTACAAAAAAAAATCGTTAGTCATCGCGATGGATGATGGTGCAATCTGGCAAGAAGTCAAACTTCCACGGTCGCCAGTAATAACAATGCTCATTTGTCCAGAAAACATGAAATTCTGGTGAGCAAGCGAATCTTACACGCAGGACAAAATGGGCCATGATATCATAGTGCGCCTGATATTGACAGAATTACATCGACGATTCAAATCAATTTAACTTGTGATGCCATCATTGGCAGTTACAAAAGCGGGTCTTTCACAAGCATATCTCCGGGAGGCATAGTACGCTAACGTTACGCATTGTTACCAACAGTGGAATCGGTTGATTTGACATCAATCAGTCCTGCTGCGCCCGTGATTCTTTTGTGTCATAATGGTCGGATGAAACAACTTCGTTAGACTAAGATGGGTACGGTTAGTGGAATGAGGGTCACCATCACACCAGTGGAAAACGAGTAAAGTTTTCTCAGACTAGTAATTGAACCTGTAATAGTTTTAAATTATAATGTCCTATCACGAAATTAATGTTGGTCTTAATCCCAAGCACCTTCGAAAATAAAGATCACGATACGAAATGATTGATTGAGGGTCGGATTAAGTTATTCTCCAACACAGCTTACTGGAAATGATTTCAGTATTGTTGACTCAAAAATCTTATTCAGCCAAAGAAAATAATGCATAGGTTTCTGAAACATTATTCAACTCAGAGCAGACAAATGCAAGAAATTGATCGAACTTCTCCGTTTTCCGCGACCATTGCAACGATGTTAGCTGGTACGGCTCCTGCATCTGCAAAAGCGGCCGCAATAGGGGCTGTTAAATGGCATCCGGGATGACACCGACAAAGGCGATTTGATGTCGCAGAGTGTCTTGTAAACAAATAAGGAAAGGAAAAGGTTTTCTGTTATCCTGGACATCTCGCAGAATACCCTCAGGCCAAGGTATTTCGACTACCCGGTACTAATCGCAAAAGGCCACGTGTCCATTAAGCAATCTTGAATTACTCACGATGGTAATTTCAGTCATCATTTCCATGGTATCTTTATGCAAAATGAACTTTAATTGAATATCCCACCCACAAGAGAAAACGGCATTTGTTACATGTTACATTGATTAAAGCACGGTTGGGTTGAATATGAAGTGACACCCAGTCATGTTGGTATTTTGATTCATACAGGCTTCCACTATCACTTGAAGTCGTTGATTATTTAACTCGAGGTCGACAAAGTCGTCTGCTGTTGCAAACTACTGTATAGGCCAATATGTGTTCATCTGATTGAATCGATGGGTGCATTTTTTGAGCATTCACTAACACCACGAGCACTTACTGGTTTTACCAAGTAACTTATAAAATAAGTTTGATAGCTTATGAAATGTTTATTACTAGATTTACGAATGTTATTCAGTCCGACGCGGCCATGATGAGGATCTGAGCAGGTTTGCCACCAAAGCGGATTTGGCTGCATTCATCAGCCGGATTTATTACTGTAGCTGACGCGGACATATTGCCGGATTACCAGGTAGGAAAAGTAGGCACCGGCCTATGGATCCCACGCCTTTTAGGGTTGGTGAAATTATAAACGCATTAGGAAATAAATTGCAGGGGTGGGGGCACGATTTTGACTGCCTATGGGCTTCCACAGAGTTTAATCCGGCACTGTTCGGGCAAACTTGATTCTCCAAGATCAAGTCGAAGATTATTCAGAGTCGAAATGTTTTATATATATATATTTTCATTATCTTTATATTCTGTGTTAAGCAATGCAGAAAATGAGGGTGGTGGAGAGGTGGAGAAGAAGACAGAAAATATATAGAGTTGGGATACTACTACGTCTGAGAGAGAGAGGATTGGGGTTAATTTATGCTTTTATTCATAAGTATGCAGAGATATTTTAACTTTTTGACTAATTTGATTTGCCAGTAAGTTACTTGCTTTTATTCTTTTTTAATTTTAACGAACCATTTCAACATTACCTACTGCAAGAACATATTTCTTCTCTCTACAAATATTGCCTTCAGGAGCTCTATAGAAGTGAAATGTCTTAAATACTTGATTCTAAACTATCTTCAACACACTTTCTGTAATGGTTAACATAGATTGGTAAACACAAATGCTTCAAACTTAGTAGCGTTTACTTTATACATATCTAAAAAGAAATGTTTATTACTACATTATTTTTCTAAATGTTTTTTTAATTGAGATTTTTAAGAAAACGTTAAATGGTTATGTCCGAGTATGCTTTCTAATTTTGTACTTTACTGCTTTTACTACGATCATCACACGCGAGTTCATGCATATTGGGACTAATCAAACATATAAAAAAATAATATTCACGCCAACAACTAGATAATACCAAACGAATCCAGCCACATCCACTTGTGTCGCTACAATTGTCGGCTCAGTGCTGTCGTTTTATTGGTTCGAGATTTGTTTGCTAAGGTTTACCTTAATGCAGAGTTGGCAGTATCCAGTGAGGCTAAGTCGGCTATACCAGTGAGGCTAAGTCAGCTATGTTCTGGGCGACACCGACAACGGTTACTCAAGTTTCACTGCCTTGTAGCTGAATTACCTGTTCGGGTCTCTAACGGCTCGGTTCTTTATCTCTGAGCGAAGCCGTTGGTGGTTTTCCATGTCCACCAACACGGTCTTAGCTGTAGCAATAACTTTCATCTTTGATAGCCATTGAGCACAGCTTGGCAGTTGTGCTGAGACTGCTTTGTATCACCACGAGAAGTTCCGAATAGACACGTATTTGTGAATGTAATTGTATCGAAATTATTTTATTAGCGCCAAACCGGTAACATTTGATATCACTCCAGCAGCAATTCCGTTTGTAGTTGGCGCGGCGATTCTGCAAAAAACATTCACAACCACACATATTCAATAGTATTTCATAAGCAATGCGGGTTCTCTTGGCGATTTAATCTATCACCTGTTGCTTTGCTTCGATTATTTTCTCAAATGGGTAACAATGTAATCGCGTAGTATAATTGCTCGAAAACCGTGCACACACTTCTAACAAATTATTTGGTTTTTTAGTGGTACAACTGTCATACAATTTTAGTAATTAGCTGCATGAAGAATATTTAAATATCCGGTAACTGCGATTGTTTTGTGGACAATTACGCTACATCTCATGGTTATATACTGCAGCCACTTGTGTTCATTTTCCCATCATTTCTGTTACTTGTTTGGTCTCTAGGTAATATTTACTCTCTCTCTCTCTCTCTCTCTCTCTCTCTCTCTCTCTCTCTCTCTCTCTCTCTCTCTCTCTCTCTCTCTCTCTCTCTCTCTCTCTCTCTCTCTCTCTCTCTCTCGTCATCTGATTTATGTAGTTTCGGTGACAGCTGACACCTAAATATATAATATATATTCATTTTGCTTAAACTGCCAAAGCAGAATGCATTGCGTTTATATTAACGACAATATAAATATTAATTCATGTTGTTAAATATAATTCTGAATTATTTGTCAATAAACACTACATTTTTCCGGTTGGTCAATACTAGCGCGTTACCCTGTGCTTCGTTTCTGCTATCATCAGTGAAGGAATCAGTGTCTAGGAGCAGTATACCAGTCTGGCTTCAAGTGCACGTAGAATGTTTTCAAACTAATGACATTTTATTGGATAATTCGTATTAAACCATTTCATTACGCTATGCGCATTTATTGTACTTCGTTAAGTGTAGGAAGTTGGCAGTTGCTCTGTTGATACAATAAACAGATCAAAGACACCCTTTAGCCAACCTCGCCCACCCCACTCCCCTTTCTTAACAATTGCCATCTATAGTAATTTTCACTGCTCCAACAGATTAATGACGGCTGGGTTATAGATATCCATCACTAAATGAAAGATCTTGGATTACTATTAATTTCAAGCGCAGCGCTGGGGAGGGTGCTAACCTTGTAAATTCACGTATATTATTGGTACATTTTTGATTCAAGTTGCCTCTTGTAACTCAAGATGTTTCCACACTGTTAATACTTGAAATCATGAAATGTGATAAGGCGATACTTCACTTTAATTCGTACTTCAAATTTCACCGACTTGGGTTCATGGGCACCCTCACTTAGGTTCCGGGGAGGGAAGAACCTTTGCCTCATGGCCCTTTGGATTACACCTTTAAACATGATTTGGCCTACATCCGTAAAACTTAATAGCTGATCACTTCATATTTGCTCAACAGTGCCCGTAATTCAGAGGGCGTTCCTGCGTGGGCTAAATTAGATGTTTTAAGTTTTTTTAATCTCTGTTTATCCTAAAATGATCGAATTCGATAATTGCATGCGTCCAATGGTATAAAATCCTAACAACAAAAAGGTAAATGTGACCTTCATTTCAATTTTTTAATAATAATAATAATAATAAAATTATTATTATTATTATTATTATTATTATTATTATTATTATTATTATTATTATTATTATTATTATTATTATTATATCGAGGACTTTATATAGCGCCTAATCTTTAGAAGCTCTAAGCGCTTTACAACATTTGACAACGCTTTAAAAGATTTTTGAAAAAACAAAACATATATAATGAGATGAATTACAAAAATTAAAAACAAACACCACAAAATTTGAAATATGCTGTAAATTTTTAAGGTAAGAATACGTTAAAAAGGATACATTATTAGGTCATTATGACTGTTCTTGCAGTTGGAATAGATGGGTTTTAAGGGCACTCTTGAATGAAATCACTGTGTCTTTGTGCCTAAGTGCAGCGGGCAATTCGTTCCACGTTGCTGGGCACTGGTATGCAAAAGAACGTTGTCCATA